ATTTTATTAATGTTGCATTTTCGTCCTTATTATCTTTTAAGTAATCTTATGTATATGTTTAAGTTGGAGTCCTTGTATTTTAAATTATTTTGTACTTGAGCGGGACATGTTTTTATTGATTCATTTTAGTCCCCTGTTTGTTGATATTTATCTTTGGTTAAATTTCTATTGGAATCATGACATTTAATTATTTTTATTTTAGTCCTGCATAGTGTTGTGGATTATTACAATATTAGTACCTATACTTGTGTAAGTGTTGAGTGTAGTTCTGATTTATACATAATTACAGCTTAGCCCTTTTAATTCTTGTTAATCATATTTTAGTCCCTTAAGTTTCTATTTTTACTATTTAATCCTTTAAGTTTCTGTTTTTGCTCTTTAGCCTTTTAAATTTCTGTTTTAGCTATTTTCAAGCTTGGTTAAATGTCATTTTGGTCCCTGAAATTATCCTATGTGCTTATTTTGTTTGTATTTTGGTTTGTAATGTTTATTTATTTTTATTTTAGTCATTTATGAAGGAATATTTTACATATTATGTAGTTATTTGTAAACATGTATATTATTGGTTCTATTTATTGTATATGATTTGTTTCACATTTTCCATTCATGTTTGCTTCCATGGTTTATTTATTTATTTGTTAATATTATTCGAATAGTTTCGAGAACGATATTTGTAGAATGGGCGTGGAAAGCACCACTTGATCGAAGTGATGTAATCCAATATGACATTCGAACCAAATACGAACTTGAAATAAATTAATTGTATTTTGCTAATTATTAATTCATTTCATTTTAAGTCGAACATTGCAATGAATGTCTCTAAATAATAATTTATTTCATTTCATGCAAATTGTCGATCTTCATTCTACATTTTATATTCGATTCACTTTTTTTTAGTTAATCAATTTATTTTGTTGTATGTAAACATCGATTTTTTTATATATTCGATTCACATATTTATCGATGAGGGAATATATTTTACGGATAAGAAATAGACGAGATAGTTTCCCGATGGAGAATTGCTTATCTCGATGTTTCTTTTCAAATTAATTTTTTCCCTAATTAAGTAATTCGAGGCAAATTAATTAAGGTTTATATAATTTTTCAGGTTAATTGCAGTTACACCTTTAACATAGTGTTGATATGACACACTGAATTTATAAAATTAAAAAGGTTAAATTACACAAATGGTCACTAATATTTGAATAAGTTTTTATTTTTTCCATTAAAGTTTCAAAAGTAACAAATTGGTCACTAAAACATCAAATAAGTCCTTAAACAATTATTTTATACTTCCTCCATCCCAATTTTTAAGTCCATTATTGATTTTTCACATAATTTTAAAAAGAAAAGTTTGTGTAAGAGATGTGTTGTAAAAAAATTAAAAAGACAATTTTATCCTGAAAAAGTTAAATTTTACTTTATTGAGAAATTAAAAAAAGGGTAGAAAGGGAAAATTTGTTGATTATTTCAATGGAACAATTTAAATGGAATAATTTTAAACAAAAAAGTAACAAATTTAATGGGATAGACGGAGTATATAATTTAGGGTAAATTACACGGGTGATTATCGAACTAGGGCTGTAAATGAGACGGGACAGATCGCGAGCTACTCGAGATTGACTCGATCAAGGCTCGATAAATACTCATACCGAATGGACTCGACTCGAGCTCAAGATCGACTCGAATTCTTAACGAGCCTAAACGGGCTACTTGATATTCGACTCGAAAAGCTCGTGAGCAGCTCGAAAATATAATATATTAAGATTTTACTTTTTTAAAAATAAATTATTAATAATATTAATATTTATGTATTGATTTTTTTTTAAAAATATAGTAAAATTTTCATGTATTTAAGGTGCAGGTTTGAGTTCGAGTTTGATGTTTCAATCGAGTTAAGTTTAAGATTTTTTTTTCATTTCGAGCCTTTTCGAGCTGCTCACGAGCTTCAGTTCAGGATTTCGAGTTTGAGTCGAGTTTAAAAATTTTAAGCTCGCGAGTTTTTGATTCGAGTCGAGCTCAGCAATACTCGAGCTCGACTCGGTTCGTTTACACCCCTATACCGAACTATGGTCATCAACCATTTTAACCACCAATGTTTAAAAGCGATCAAACATACCATCAAACTGTTTAAATGGTTCAATCAAGCCACTAGCTGTTGTGTTGATTAGGCCGTTAATAAAATTGACATAATTATATATTTGTCCTTAATATTTACACATTGTATCAATTTAGTCATTGTTTTAATTCAGTTAAATAAATTTAATCCTCCAATCATACAATAACACGTGTCACCACCTGTGTAAAGGGAAAACATATTAAAATAGAAGTGTATTTGGGTGGATTCAAACCAGGGACTTTAGGTAAGCTTTTACCACTGGGCTAAAGCCATGTATTTAGTTATAAAGTGCACAATCTTTTATATATTGGGCTTAAATGTCAAAAAAGGTGTCTAACGTATACCTTTTTTCAAATTTGTTTTGATTCAATTTATGACAAACGTTTAATTTCGTAACTCAGTTTGAAACATGCCCATTACGAGCCATTAATTTCGACCCTTAAATACCACCTAACATGGGTATAATAGTAAAAATGAATTTTCCAATTAAAAGTAATTTTCCATCCCTTCCCCCATCCTTCTCTCCCGTGACTCTTCCCATTCTTCCCCTGGTTTGGAAAGAGGATATGAATTATCCTTCACCTATCATCCGTCAAACATATCGCAATTCATCAAAGATTCAATCAAACTCTCAATCCCCTGTTTCTTCGTCTTCGAAGTAACGTATGTTGACGCCACTCCTTTGTCGGAGGAATCAGATTTGGCCGGGGAATTATTGCTCACGTTAGCTACCACTGGAGTTTTTTAAGTCACAGTTGAAGTCTGGTTAACTTTTTCGGAAGAACCGGATTTCTCCGGCGAATTTCTACTCCGGTTAGCTACCACTGGAGTTGCTTCAGTGACAGTTGTAGTCTGATTAACCTGCGAAACGTGAGCTTTATCGGAATTGTCTTTCTTCTCAGTATGGTTGCTTGTGATAGGAAGATTTCCATTAACACTGGGAGAAGAAGCTTCGGTTCAATTTGCATGCAAAAATGAACTTTGGGTTTTGTTTGTGCTTGTGTCGGTGGCAAAACAGATGTGTTTCTCGAACTACGGAGTCGATCGTTGTCGTTGAAAGGTATGGTATGATTATTAGAAATAGAAGTGAAGTTAATGTTCTGTTTGTTGAAGCGGAGAAGAAGAGATGGAAGAAGAGAAATTAAATAGCAAAGGAAACATATATATTAAATTATACTTAATGTAAGAATTAAATTTAAAAATGAGGTCAATATTTTTATTTTTATTTTTTACAATTATTTTAAAATAATAATATATAAATTATATTAAAAATAAAATTGTATTAAAATTATTTAGAGAACCCAAATCACAAAATAAAAATGAGTTTAATATTTTTATTTACATTGTTTTTTACAATTATTTTAAATAATAATATATAAATTATATTAAAATTATAAAATTATTTAAATTATTTAAGAAATTCAAATCATAAAATAAAAATAAAAATAATTTAATTTAAAAATAAAAATAAAAATATTAAACTCATTTTTATTTTTAAGTCTTACATTGACTATAATTTATTTATTATATTTATTTTAATATATATATATTTGTGTGAAATAATCTCAAATAAAATATATAAAAGACTGTGCACTTAGAATCAAATACATGGTTTTGGCCCAGTGGTAAAAGCTTGCCAAAGGATGTTTCTTGGTTTGAATCCACCCTAATGTACTTATATTCTAATATGATTTCCCTTTACACAGGTGGTGCCATAGGTCACTATATGATTGGAGGATGAATTTAATTAATTTTAATATTTTAATTGAATTAAAATAGTGATTAAATTGATACAATGTGTAAATATTAAGGACTAAATATATAATTATACCAATTTTATTAATGGCCACGTCATCACCTCTGTTAAAATTAACAACAAGTGATTTGATTGAACAATTTAAATAATTTAGTGGTCTGTTTGATCGCTTTTAAATATTGGTGGTCAAAATGATTGATAATCATAATTCGACGATCATCCGTATAGTTTACCTCTAATAACAGAGCTCCAATGGTATCCATTGGAACAACAACACAGGCCACCACTTAACATCATAAGCCCACACCGGAGCTGGTGAAGGATGGTTTCTAATAAAGCCCTGCAACAACTCTAAAGCAAAGAGACTATACCACCATGTTCAACAGCGGCATGTTAACGTGGTTGGTTCGCCTTAGTCGGTCAAGGAAAGGGATCAAGGCCTTTAAAGAGGGAATTCAAACCGTCGTTAATCGTGATTATTTACATGATTAAATGATATCAGATCGATCGATTTAACGTCACATCAATATTTTGATATCTCAATAATGATTGTTAATGATGATGGATCGATTAGTTAAACTGATAACATCAATGAAAACAAATTACTTTTATGACATCAACGAAAAAAAATAAATGATCATTTATATAATTTAGCCGTAAAAATATTATCATTAATAGTATTTTTATGCAAAATGCACAATGGAGTGCATTCTTTTGAGGTTAGAAGCTTAGCATGGTGTGGACTGGTAACTTTTCATTTGTTCCTTGTCTTGGCTGCCATGGAAACACCAAACACAGATGCATGCTTGAAAATATGGCCCTGTGGTGGAGTGATGATAGTCTCCTTTGTTATGTTGAATATCTTTTTTTAATTATTATTAAAGTTGCTGAATATCTATAAATTTGCTTTAGCTTTTTAGTTCATCGTGACCTAATGACCTTGTCGTCGGTCTCTTCATCCAAAAAAGAAGAAAAAAAGTACTTTTATGAAGAATTTTCCTTACTTTATTGTCTTTAATTAATGCAAATTCAAACCCCTAAATTATACCGTCAAAACAATAAAAACTCCATAGCCCTGCCCGAAAAAAGTCTTTCCCAAAATCCCCCCTTTTTACCAATCTCGAGCACTTTTTTTTTGTCTTCCTTCACAAAGATACAAAGATGGCTGTTCATTGGCTACTGATATGCCATGGACTGATAACTCTTATTGTAGTCGTCTCGTTTCTCTGTGGGCAATGGCCAATCTTCCAAGGAACACTCATTAGCTCCATCCACCGTTTCATCACTTTTGGAGCTTACCAATACTTCCTGTACGCCTCCTTTCTGCAAATTTCTTTGATGGGTTCCTTTTAATTTTTCTGGGTGACTGATTTTTGGGTTCCTTTGATTTGTTTTCAGGAAGTTTGTAGGTGCTGTTTTTGGAGACAAAGGAATAAATTCGATACTTTCTGTTGAGTATTATTGTTGTGATAGGCCTAATCCTATCTTGCAGGTATGATTTTAAGTTGAGCAATTGAAATTATTGAATTGAAAGCCCCTGGAGATTGAGGTTCATCTCTTATCTGAAAGAGTTGGTTTTCTTGTTTCATAGTGTGTTTATGAATGATTAGGTATGAAGTTTGTATATGCGTTGTTTTGTAATTTGAAATTATTGTAGCAATTTTAGGTACATTAATTTGATGCTAAAACACTGAACTATATGGTTCTTTTTGTGCACTACATATTAAGAAGTCTCTGTGGTGGATCTAGAAATATTTTTTTAGGGTGGACACGCATACGTTAACAACTTTTAAATGCTGAACACTGTTAATAAAATAAGTAACTAATCAAAGAAAACTCAGATTTTAGGGTGGACAACATCAATAAAATAAGTAACTAATCGAAGAAAATTCGGATTTCAGTGCCCACCTCACCAAGCTGTGGCTCCGCCACTGAGAAGTCCTAGGTTTGGGCGACGACTTGAAACTTGAGCATTTACCCTCGAACGTAGGAGTAACAATCGCTTGGCCAAGACTTGGTTCTTACGTTAGATAATAAGATGATTGGCATAGTTCTGTTTTGTCTTGTCTTTGATACATGATTCATGGGGTTAAGTTGATTGGAAACAATGTGCGGTAAATTTGACGAATGAGACATACTTAACAGAATTGTCTTAGCCTAAAGTCAACTACATTTGAATTTCGTAATTCACTGCTAATACCGCATGCTTCAAATATAAAAAAACCTTCACAACATTATTGAAGCGAAGAATGGTAACAATAGATGATCTAGAAATGCACTGTATTGTCATTTGAATATCCACTGTTTAGAAAGATGAGGTTTGTTTTATACAAGAAACGGGGCTATTTTTGTTCGTATTAAGGTCATCCTTTCCCAACTTTCTCTTTATGACAGATTATATACTTGGCAATAATCGGATCCAGTTATTGGATTATAGTGAAGACGTCCTTTCAATTTGTACCTGGATATTATCTCAGTGGAGTCCATAGGTATGTGCTTAGAACTGAATTCTCTGCTGTGTAACCTGATTCTTCGAAGTGATTGATTTTGTTTTTGCCACTCATTTTTCATTTTTATATTTTTTCAGGTACACGAGTTTGTTGGCAGTTGCAATCGGGATTCTTCTCTTTCTTTTGACTAGCTTTTCAGATCCAGGAACTGTGACGGCTGATAACGTTTCACACTATCTATCTGTTTATCCTTATGATAATATCATATATACAAAGAAAGAATGCTCGACTTGTAAACTTCCAAAGTAAGTTCATTGTATTGTTTTCACATCTATTGATGTGGTTTTTTAATTCTCTAAAATGTAATCAGATTATTCTTTTGATCAAGGCCTGCCAGATCCAAGCACTGCAACATATGCAATCGATGTGTTGCCCGCTTTGATCATCATTGTGGTTGGATGGTATAACTTATTCAACTGTTCTTTTTCCTTTTTCTTCTTTATTGTACTTCGTGTAGCGAGTTGTTCTATATACAAACATGTTAAAAATATCTGATTCTTATATCTACTTAAGTTAATGTTTACTTGTTTCAGAATAATTGTATCGGGGAAAGAAATACGCGATACTTTTTGGCTTTTCTTTTATGGTGAGTTCTTCACTATTTATCAACTGCTAGCAATCTGTATTTTTTATTTTAGTTTTTCTTAATTGCTTTTTTCATTTTCCATCCAGTAATGCTTTCTTGGAGACATTGAGCATCCTCTAGTTACTCAATCGAAACCACCATTAACTTTGACTGGAACTTTACAATAATCAGATTTCCATTGCTATTGAAGTTGCTTTTGGTTGGATTGATGATCTGAATATAGTAACCGACCTTGTGTTTTATCCGTTAGTACGAGTCATTTGTTCATTCCTAGCTTTCTTCGAGATCAAGAGCACTTCTCGTCCTTTTCTTTCCTACTTGTCCGTGCTCAACTTGTTCTAATCTACAAGCATAAAAAAAAGCTATTTTACCGCTTTTAGTTTTCAATAATCACGTTGTAAGTCATATTAAGTGTTCTGCAGGCATTTCCTTATATGCATGTATGCAACAATTGCTATTGGATTGGTTCTCGCCGGAAGAGTAAAAGAATTGAAAATTGTATACATTTTAACAGGTAATATCAATTCAGACTGAGGTTTTCTAACTTTTCTTAATGTTTTGCTGGCTAAACATTCCGTGACATTCTCTTCTATTTCTCCAGTTTATTATGGTGTGGAAAATTCTTTTCGCAGTTTAGCCCCTCAAATCGTACAGGTGGCTGCTTTGTTTTTGAGATATCCTCTGCTTTACATTTAGGATCTTGCTGTAGATATTTCGAGTTCAATACATCGGCTTTCGGTTTTTGCAGTGGCTGTTAGGTTCGTATAATACCCAAATACTTCTTATGGTGTTTATGGCTATAGTTTCGCTCTTGTTGGCTGGTTTCTTTGCATATCATGCTAAGCTTTGTCTGACAAACACCACAACGAATGAGGTGAGATCTGTTTTTACCTTGTTCTATTGTTTGTTTTTGTTACCTCAGAATAACGTTTAGAGCACTCCTGATTGATTTGATGCCCGGCCTTGACCAAACACCTAGAAATACTTTACCATGCTGAGGATTAAGATGTTAATAAAAACATGAAACTAGAGTAAAATGTTCACATCCGGCTGATGCAACCTTTAACTAAACATAAACCTGGAAATACTCGGGTATGCTGATTATTAAGTTATTGAAATCATAAAAGTAGAATTTAATGTTCTCATATGTCTGGAAATGCAGACGTTCAAGTGGCAAGACTATGTAAGCTGGCAGAAGAAACTGAGAGAAGCACGAGCGAGCTCGGCAGCATTAAAAGCAAGCATCGACAGGATGGATAGCGAAAGAAAGCCTCCAGAGAAAAAATGTAAATCCTTCTTCAAAAGGTCCCTTCTAGAGAATACTGAAGCTGTTGCAAAGAACAATGTGTATGATAAAGGATTCTTTCACAATTTGTATGAGATCATTTTTCCAGTCCCGACAAGAGCATCGCATTCGCATACCAAATCAAAATCTGGCTAAGGTCGTTAACTGTTAATTAAAAGGTTCATTCTTTACTCGAACTCCGCATCCCAGTCAATATTTTACTTCTTGCCACCATGCTATAAGCCAGAGATTCAGGATGGATTTAGGAGCATGGTCTATATTGTACAACTTCATGAGACATGATGGCTCGGTATTATCGTTCGGTAGTCGTATAAATCCACATGTTTGTGTTGTATTCATATTGCAGTTGTGTTTCAAGTTCATTTTAATAATTAGGTACTACAAAGTAAAAGGATCACTATTTTTCTCTTTAATGTGATTTGAAATGCATGGAATCTTAGTAAGAAAGAATCTATCTATGACCATGTTGGAGACAAAGGAATATATATAGTTATTTGTTTATGAATTGGATTTCCTGCAAGTGCTTTTCCTATGTTGGTTTCATTTCTAACATCATACTTGACCTTTGGTGCCCCCACATTGTTCTTATTTATAGTTAAAGCGCTATAAGTGCAATCAAATCTTGATGTTGATATTATATTACATACGTTTTGTGTTATTTTTACATGTTAATAATTATGTTCAAATATTAAATTTTAGCACATTTGTATTTTTATGTATTTTAGGTGGCATATCTGTATATTATCCAAAATTATAAGAATATTCTGGCATTGGGATTTCAGTTAATATTATTGAAATCGAAAGGTAAATGCAAAAGGAAAAGGAGAAGGAGAAGGAAAAGGGTAGAAAAAGGGTTCCATATTTGAACAATTTAGTGGGTATATTAATACCAACTTTATTCCATCAATTTGGTCCCTTGACTATGTGATTGGAGCTCAAATGTCATCTCATTTTCTTTTGGTCACTTCCAACTTTCGTATATAATAATTCTACACGAAGGTTGAGTGGATGAAACGTAGGACTTAGTGGGGTGGCACTTTATTCATTTGCTCCTCCTTATCTCATACTAATGATGCTTTCAAGGTTACAACAATTCTCTTAACTTGCTTTAGTTTGTGTAGTGGGATTTTCTCTTGTGAGCCCTTTTTATGATGATAATAGATGACCAATTACGTAGGAATTTCATGAGTTTCTATTCAGTTGATTGAATCACATATATTCTCATGTCCTTTGATCCCAACATAAATCACAAACAGAGATACATACAAGCATATGTTTTTGTATTTGCTTATGTACTTAAAGAGTGTAGATAAATAGTATGGTCGTTGGTTGTCATCTGATTATGTTGGACTGTTTGATGATAAGTTTGCAGTACCTACATTGTTAGCTATTTTCTAACGACCTTGTTAGATTTTGATAGCTTAAATGAAAGTTAGACAATTTAAATGTTCAAAGCTGGGTATTTGTGTAGGATCAAGACTTGGTTTATAAGTTCTTTTTAGTACTCTACAAGATTGTATCTGTTCAGAATATTTCAAACTTTTAAGTCATTGGCAATGCACACATACACTCAATAGACACGACTATTTGAACTAAAGATCTCTAATAAAAAAACAACACACTTTAACTAGTGAGATCACTAAACAAGTTTCTTGGTTTATAAGTTAATATAACACACACATTAGGGGTGCTTATCGAGCGAGTCGATCGCGAGTTGGGTAGTGCTCGACTCGACTCGTGCCCGTTAAGAAAATTTGTTGTTCGACTCGTTGCTCGCTAAGTTTGTTAAAATTTTGTTCGACTCGTGGTCGTTAAGAAAATTTGTTGCTCGTTAAGCTTATTTCTCGTCTAGTTGCTCGTTAAGTTCATTTGAATTTTTATTTTATTTTTTAACCAAGTAAAATCTATTAATATTATATAAAACTTAATATAAACATAAATTAATAAATTTAACCAAAAAAATTTCAAAAGAGATTACAAAACAAATTCAAAGTCTAAACACTAAAATAACAATCTATAACTATATTAAAATAATAATTAGGGTTTGATTTTTGGGTATAGTAAAATAATAATTATCAATTAATAATTTAGTATTTTTAATTATTTACTAGAAAATTAAAAGACTAGTAATTTATCATTTTTTATTATCCATTAGTAAATTAGTAATTTTTTGAATGAAATAATTTTTCAATATAACTATTAAAAGTTATAAAATGTTAACGAGTTGCTCGCGAACTTATCGAGTCGAGTTGGACTTTGTTCGACTTAACTTGTTAAGGCTTCAAATCGAACTCGAATTAACCCGAATCGAATTTTTATCGAATTTTAACTGAATCAAATTCGAACTGCTAATGAGCTGCTCAACTCATTAATCAGCTCTTATCCTCATCGCATGTATGCACTTTCAAAAACCAAGGCATTAAGTCGTACTAATACTTTTGAATTAGTCGGCTAACCCTTTCCATTGAAAACCAAGTTTTTGACGTGATGATAAAATATATCCCTATTATTTTAATTTATATGTTTCTTATCTTCAGAAAAAAAATGTTACCCCTTTTAATTTTTAAATATTAATTTTTTAAATAAAAACCCAATAAAATTACAAAAAGAATCTGTAAAATTAGAATAGACTAATACTTTGTTTTGTATTACCCTAAACACCAAAGTGGTTTAAAATTTTCAGCCCCCTGAAAGCATTTTTTTAAAATCTCATTTATCTTCTTTTATATTTTTAAGAATAATAGATATTTAATTACTTAAAAGCATATATTGACAACAATCTTAAACATTAATATTTTAAACTACACAATCTAACATATTTTTTAAAATCACTATTTTCACGGTATTTTTTTAAAAGCAATGTCAAAATAACCCTAAATCATAATAATTAATTATTTTTCCTAAAATCATTAAAGTAAAGAAATTAGTCACTAAAAAAAATAGAATCATACAAAAAAGAAGAAATATCCATTCAGACAATTTCGACACGATAAATACAAACAAACACAAATATCGACAATGAAAGATAAATACCATCAATACCAACATAAAAATATATAAAATACTGATGTCATGTTGACAAAATAACTTTAACACAATTCGTTTGCAATCTATCTTTTGGTAATTGCATGTACTTATCAATAAAATAAAATTAATCTGAGAATCTAAAGTAGAAATAGATCAATAGAATAATTAAATAAACACTAATTGAATTTAAATTCGATTTAATATCAAATATATATAATTTTTATACATTTACAAATATGTCAATATCTAAATGTTGAACAAATACAAATATATGATTTTAAACACTTCAGAAATCTAATTAAGATATTTTTATGCGTATTAAAGAAATGTAATGTCATTAGCTTCACAAACTCGCAACTTTGAACACTGATTTGTCTGTGATCGAAAACTCTTCAACTCAAAGATGGTCTTTCTTTATTCTGATTGACCTCCACCCTCAATTCAACCTTTTTTGCTGTCCTAAAAAAACCCTTTTTTGCTGACGTTCAAAAACAAAAGACCTATTCATGACAATCAAGGATGGATCGAAGAAGATGGGTAGAGTAATCGTTCCTTGAAAATTTTAAATTAGTATATATTTTAGTTATCGTATTTTCAATTGTTTTTACTTCACAAGAATTTTGTAAATTCGTTTCCTTTTAAAGTTTTAGAAGTTTGTCATCTGACATAAAATCTTACGTTCGTCTCTATGGCCATCCAAGGCATAACCCGGAATTATCTCAACACTTTCAAAAAAAATTGCATCTTCTGTATAAAAAATTATACGTGTCATAACCATTTTTTATAAAATAGTTAAATATTATTTTAAAAAATGATTATGACTTTATTTTGAAAAATTGGTGGTTTTGAATTGATTTGTATTAAATTTAATAAGAGTTGCCATCGACCTTTGGGCTAGGTAGGTCGAATACCTAAAAACGTCTTTTTAAAACAATTTTAAGAAAAACCGTTTTTAAGACAAAAGTTGGTATGCGTTTACCAAAAATCTGATTTTACGGATCCGGGAGTCGATTATGCGTGGGGAAGGATTAACACCCACACAACGTCCAAAATTGGTAATGTGTCGCTTACACTTTGTCGTAACGGTGGAAATTGTGAATCGAATATAAAGTTAAAATATGATTTGTTTATCGAAAAATTTTCTTCGAATTAATTAATTAGAGAAAATTCTTTAACTTGGAAAGAAATCTCGAGGTTAGCAATCCTCCATCGGGAAAGCTATCTCGTCTATTTCTTATCCGTAAAGAATATTCCCTCCTTGTTGATTTTGAAAAAAAATGCGAATCTAATAGAAATTGACTATCGACCTTTGCATAAACTAAATTGCTATATAAAAACAAATTGAATCATAAGAGATTTAATTAGTAAAATAAATTAGATTTATTTCAAGTCTCATTTCGTTTGAACGTCGTATCAAATTGTACCACTTCGATCAAGTGATACTGTCTACGCTCGTTCTACAAATACGTATTCTTGAAAATATTTGGATAATATATTTAAATAAAGAAATAAAATGAAAATAAATAGGAATGGAAATATGCGAAATAAAATATTTACAACAAATAAAGGCAATCATATTTATTTAATATAATACAAATAATTACACAATATGTAAAATATATTAAATATAAAGGACTAGAATACACATTAGATAATATTACATATTAGAATATAAACGATAAAAATAATTTCATTCAATGATTTATGGGACCAAAATAAAAATTACAAAAACTTAAAGGACTAAAATAGCAAAAATAGAAATTTAAAGGACTAAAATAGAAAAAATAGAAATTTAAAGGATTAAAATAGCAAAAACAAATAAACTAGAGCCTAGATAATAAATATTAAATAATATAAGGACTAGAAATGAAAATAACCCAAAAATAATGTTTACAGATTAAAATAAGATAAACCAGAAACATGGAGGAGCAAATAACAATTAATCTTAAATACACACACAGCACATGAAATCAGTGACCAAAATGAAATAATCACAAATATTGTGACCAAAGTCAAATATTTACAATAAAGGCATAATACAGAACACGATGACTTAAATATAAATGAAAAAAATAAGTGCCTAAAACAAAACATTAAAATTTCATTTGATGATTAAACAAAAAGATTACAAAGTATGGGGGACCAAACGTGGTATTTTCCCTACAATTTCAAAAAAAACACGGGGATAGCAAAACTACGTCGTTTTGGTGGCCAAATATAAGGGCGAGGCGTGGCCAAATATAAGGGCGAAGCGTGGCCAAATATAAGGGCGAAGCGTGGCCAAATATAAGGGCGAAGCATGGCTAAAATCAAGCCATTTTCCACATCTGCTTCAATTTGAGACGAGAGAAGAGAGAGAGAGAGTTCTCAAAACTCTCTTAACTTTCTCATTGGAAGAGAGAAAGTTTGTCGTCGCTGGTGGCGCTCACGGCGACGCACGACAGTCCACGGTGGTCGGAGTGACCCAAACACTATCAAAAGAAACCTCTCAACCCCCTCCACT